CTTGAAGTCATATTTCAAGTTGTTTTAAGGAAAGTATTAAGACTTTATTAGCAAAGAAGTATAAAAACTTCTTGCGAGTATCTTTTTTATGTGTGATCAGAGGATCAGTGGAAAGAAAGTCTATATATGGAATTTATTATATGAAAGTATAAAAGATAATTATACAAAGAATATATTTTTTAAAAATCATAACAAAAAATTTTCTCATCAAATTAATTAATAATAAATTATCAACTCTATATAAATTGATTATAAGAAGACCTGATCTATATAAACAAATAAAGTACATTGTATATAGTCAACAGAATGAAACAATAGAATACTTGTTCAAATATTTGATCTATATGTATGAAATAAAAAAATAGATAGAAATCTCAAAAACTTTAAAGAGTTTTTATAAGAAAGAAGAAAGAAGATGATTGAAAAAAGAGTAATAAACTGAATATTAATAATAAAAAAGAATTAGAAAAGCTTGACAGGTAGATTTTTAGACTAGTAGAATAGACTTCTATAATTAGTTAAAATGTTTTTTAAGTTTTTGTACTAATCATATAAGAAAAAATTTCATTTTAAAAATGGCAGATCTAAAATAACATAGAAAATGTATAAAAAAAGAAGCTAGAAAATAGATAATAAAAATATAAAAAAAATTTGCAATCAAGTTTGAAAAAAATTTTGAAATACAAGATATAATAAAATAATTAAATAGGAATAAACTTAAGAAATCAATAGAAAAAACAAGAAAAAAAGATTTTCAATCCCTTTAGATTATAAAACTATATTTTTATAAAAAAAAAAATCATTATTGGAAGAAGAAAAACTAGAAGATAAAAATTTTAAAAAGATTCTTATAAAAGAAGTAAAGTATAAAATAAAATAATTGGAGTTCTAAACTCAGAATATTAAAGGATAATTTGTAGTAGTGACTTGTAAATAATAAAGTTATCAGTTGAAAGGATTTTTATCTGAACTACTAATATAATGATAAATTATTTCTGAAGTTATATTTAGAGTTTTGGTAAATTTAAAATAAAGATGAGTAAGTTAGATAGAGATTTAACTTTAGTGAAATATTTTATAATGTAAAATATACAAATATTTAATAAGGCATATACAATATATTTAATCTAATAAAAAGTTTTTTTAAAAAAAAAAACAAGACTTTTGTGAGCTATTATATATATAAATTTTATAATTTTTGATTATATAATTAAGAATTTAAAAATTGTCAAATTGAAATATATAATAAAAACATAATAAGTGGACTCAAACTTTTGAAAGTAACTGCATTAATAAAGCATACTTAAAGTTATTTAAATTAAGTTAAAAATTATTTTTAATAATATATAAATTCATATATAATCTACAAATGTTTAATAAATTATATATAACTTAATCTGACAAAGAGTAAAAAAGAAAAAAATTATAAAATTTTTAAAATTTTTAATTTTTTATAAATTAAATTGATATTTAGGTTTTTTATTATTTTTCTTTATAGTTACCATTACACTTTTTAATCAAAATTACTATAGATACTAACTATGTAATCATAAGCTATTCCGATTGTAATTTGTCATCTTTAAAACTATTTTGCAATTAAAAACTTCAAAAAAATAATTACAATACTATATAATATTATTTTAATATTAATGTTTAATACACTAACTTTTAAATAAATATATGAGCTATTAATAATAATGTTAAAATAAAATTAACTAATTAAAATTGAATTTTATTATTTTACATTCACGAGATTACTTTATTTAATTTACTTAATCGTGTAATAATTAGAATGGCACCATGTAATGTCTCATCACTAATACATATTATTTGAATATGAACTAACCACATAGCCACAAATATATGATACAACTTACTTTATATATGCATGCGTTCATGCACTTTTTATGCTACAAAATTATTACACAATTGTTATATAAAATTATATAAAAACAAAACTTTTGATGAAATTGAGAAAAAAGTCGCGTTGTACAAAGTGATCTTCCATGTCTTCCAAAGAATTCCCAAAGTAGTCATAAACATTGTTGAACATTTAGTTACAGAACGACACAGCATCCGTCTTTGTTTCTTTCACGCGTCAAAAGTGCCGCCCGAGACGCGGCCTCAAAAACATCATCCACATTTTCACCAGTTAATGAAGAACATTCAATATATTTCTCAGCACCTATCTGTTGAGACATTGTTTCACCCTATAGAATAAAAAATCAAATTTCATTATTTAATTCTCAAAAAAATACGCGATCAAGGCATTGTCTTTATTACCTGTTTTGTGTCCACAAATGATATACCTTTGCTCTTCATTTCTGCAATTGCTTCTTCATCATCTCTTAGATCTTTCTTTAGTCCAACTAAAATGATAGGTACGTTCGGGCAAAGAGAAGCCACTTCTTCAATCCACTAGTAAGAGTAAATGCTTTACTGAGTAATTTGTTTAGAACTATTGATAAGTAAATAAATTTACGGACTTTTGCAGCAACATTCTCGTACGAGTCCGGTGAGCTAATTGAAAATGCAATCAGGATGACATGAGCTTTTGAATATGAGAGAGGTCTCAATCGCTTAAATACGTCAGAATTAGATCAGTATGAAATTTCTATAAATTCGACAAATATATTACATTTATAATCACGAACTGAACTGACCTCATATTCTTCTTGCCCGCTTTATTATGGAAGAAAAGGTTTTAGTGAGAATTTTGGTCTTTTTTGTCATAATCATAATCAAAACCTACGCTGTGTCCCATAACGCTAATTGTACAGGTTTTCCATCAATTTTTAGATCCGCTACTCGATTTTCGAATATAGTTGGGATCTATTAAGTCAATAAAATATGTTTTGAGTCTGACTTAACTATAAAAGTCGGATCTCAAAATTAAAACTGGGAAAAAATTTTTCCTTCTTTTCTGGATCTAAAACTTACATAGTCCTATATTTAAGAAAAAGTCAAAATTGACAGGTTAAAATGGACTGTATCAACTGTGCCCAAGTTATTTCGAACTTACCGTCGGGAAATAACCTAATGTGAAAACGGACAATAACGAAGTTTTGCCACAGGCGCCGTCTCCAACAATAACCAATTTGCGAGCAATGACCTCCCTGGTTTTTGTAGTCATTTTTTGTAAAAAGGCGGTTTGGTAGTTGAGTGAATAAAATTTACAGTAAGGGAATTTTTGAATAAGCTGGGCGCTTGTACAACAATTTCTCAGTTTGTCTTTTAAGGAAAAACGTGGTTTGTACAATACGTACGTACGCACGTACAGTACGTACCATTGTATATTAAAATCCAATTTCGCGGATGAATAAATACGAATCGTATAGCGTGTTCATTCTCGATCACCCGGTATCTATAATTATGTGATTTAAGTGATTTTTTTCTTCAGTCAAGTTTCTTTCCGGCCACATTGTATACAAAATAACTATAACAGGAATGTTTCAAATTTTCTATTAATGCAGCAGTTAACGTTGATCCTGAAATGAGCTTTGATTATCATACGCTCGCTGCGCCCATATACAATATAGTCATTTTAATTTATAATGATAGGCAACTATATATTTACAAGAAATTTTATAGTTTCTTGTAAATAAAATTTTAATACTGTTAAAGATTATTTTAATCTCTTATTTGTATATAAATTAAAAAAAACGAAATCTAAATTAACCATTAATTAACGAGTAATATTTTTTGATTTTTATACCTTATAAATTGTTAAAATAACATTATATTATAGAATATTTTATTTAATTAAAATAAGAAAAATTATTTTTATAAAATAAGTTAAACTAAAAAAAAAACACATTCTACTAATTTTCTTTTTTCTTAAAAATTTTCTTTTTTGATAATTTATTTAAAAAAAAAAGCTGACTCAAAAAATATTATATTGTTTTAAATTCGCAACCAACATCAAATTATAATATTCAACTATATATTAAAAGTTTTTTCTATTAATTAAAAGAAACTTCAATAATAATATATTATTTTTTTAACTTTATTTTTACAAAGGAAAAGAAATATATCAACAAGCTGGTTCACAATAAAAAACATTAATTTTTTAAGCTTCTAGTCAAATAAGTATTGATTTGTATCTTTTTAGGTACTAAAAGAAACTTTATAGACAATAGTTTCTATCAATAAATAGAAAAAGTCCCAAGTTTACAAAACTCAAAAAGAATATTAAAGATTTTTAAAGATTAAACAGTAGAGTATTCTAATTCTATAAACATTTTTGACTAAATATCAAAACAAGTTATATAAATATATACATATTAATTAATAAGCATGAAAACAATATAACAAGATTTGTAAAGAGTCTACAAATAAATTAAATTGGCTTATTATAACAAAAGCAAATCAATAATGAAATTCTATAAACAAATAAAATTAAATAAAAAAAATCAATAAATTATTTAAATAAATAAGAGTAAATTAAAATAATAAAATAATAAACAAAAGTAAATAAATTATAATAAATTTATATATATATATTTTTTTTTATATATAACTTTCAAAATAATAATAATAAAAAAAATTATACAAATTGCAAAAAAAAAGAGCTTTATATTCTTAATATAATTGTTAAAATAGTTGATAAATAGAATTAAAAAGAAAAATATAAGTTATTCAAATCATTTCATTATTTTTATAATATAAGATAATATATTTAATCAAATTTTAGAATTAATAAAATACTTAATATCAAATAATATTCAAGTCAAATAGTGAATATAAATTTAATCACATTTATAAAAGTCACAGTCTTTAGGTAATATATTTTTTATATATAGATTTAAGATCAAAAAAAAAAAATGAAAAGAAATTTTTGATACTTTTTTTGAAAAAAAATTTAAACATATTCTTAAAAAGATGCTTTTATAAATTATTCTTCTTTTTCTATTTCAAAAACTTTCTAGATTAAACAAAAGTTTGAAAACTCTATAATAAGAAATCAAGTTTCAAAACAAATTTTATTTTAAAAAAAAATATAAAAGTTTAATTAATAGTTATAATTGAAATTCAAAAAACATTAAAATCAAAATAAATAATAAAGAATTGAAGAATAAAATTAAAATAAAAAATATTTAATAAAATAATAAAAAATATATATAGTTAAATAAGCTTCCTATGGTATACAAAATAGAATTAAATCAATTAATATCAATCTATTTTATATTACAGAAAAATAGATGAAATAAATATATTTATATTCAATATATTGAAAAAAATAAAAAAAGAAAGAACAAACTATTTTTAAAATACTTTAAGTTTATTCAAAAATATATAATAATTCAATAAATATTTTTTAATAATAATACTTGAACAACTTTCAATTTCAACAATGTAAAAATGCTCTGTAATATATAGAAAAATTAATAAAAAAAAAAAAAAAATAAAATAAAACTTTATTTAATTTCTATATAAAATAACAAATAAAAAAACTTATACTTTTCATCAAAAAAGAAATTTTTCAAACAAAAAATAGAGAAGAAAAATAAATTATAATTGCTATAATAATTGATTTAAATTATAATCATATTTGTTAAAAAATTAAAGTCATCTTTTAAAAATATAAAAAAGTATTAAATATTTATATACTAAATATAACTATTTTTATTTTCAAAAAAAAATTAATATAATTGTTTAAAATTAAACAATTTATTAGATCATATTTTGCTACTTCAAATCAAGAGAAACTAATTTAAAATTACTTTTAAATTAATACTAGAAATATAAAAAAATATCAAAAAGATATTAGATAAAGATTTAAATTTTCTCTACTATTGACTATCTACTAAGATTAAAACCAAGAAGAAAGTCAATACTTATAAATTATCCACTGAGATACTATATCTTTTTATCTTTGAAAAAGAGAAATAAAGATTTTTTTATATCTTTTTTTTCTTTAAATAGAAAAAAAATAGTTTTAGAGATTAGTTTTGTTAATATTATTTTATCTGAAAATTTATTAAAGAACTATTTATCCAAAAATTAAATAAAATTAATAACTAGAAGGATACTTTAAAACCTTATTTAAAAAGATACAACTCTTTTAAAGTTAAACCAAGTTTTTAGAAAATCTTCTATTTTAACAATGGTTTTTAATAAGTACTTTTACTACAAGTAAAAATAATAGATATTACTAATAAACTAAATAATCAAAATAAAAATAAATAAGTTAGGTAGAAATTTGACTTTAGTGAAATATTTTATAATATAAATATATAAATATTTAATGAAATATATATACTTAACTAAACTCTTTCCACTGATTTTCTGACCACACACAAAAAAGATGTTTGCAAGAAGTTTTATACTTTCATTAAAACAACTTGAAGCTTGTCTTTATATATCTTTTCTACCCTCCCTTACTTGTTTATAAACTCCTTTGAATAAAAACTTGAGCCTCTAGTAACCTAAAAAGACTTAAGTATACACTTCTTCTACTAAGGGCAAGAAGGTTCTAGGAAATAAAAGAACTGAAAAGTGGAGTGCCACCTCACAGAACTAGAAGTGACAAGAAATAAAGGTTCTGTTGGCAAGGAAAGGCTTATTTTTCACCTTCTTACATACTGTCTTATATCCACTTAAAGTGCTCACTAGTTTTCATGGTTTTCTTGAGGGATTTTGCCTACCTCAGTTTGACCTCGAATTTTTGGTAGCATAACGTTACCTGGTATCTGATTGGTTGACACGAAACACATTAGTAGCTAAATGTAAACAAGCTCCTATTGGTTATCTCACGTTATTCTAATAACGTCATTGGTAATAAAAAGAGAAATCAAGAATACGAACTCCTCCACTTCTCCAAATGAAGTTTAACTGAAGCAAAAAAATTATAAGGCCATTAGAATGGGCACTAAATTTTTTAGATAATGAAAAGATGATTATTTGTTCAAGTTGAGGCCTTCAACTTCTTATCATTCTGGTCAGGCAAAGTACGCGAAGGAGGTTATTTCCTTATCCCAGTCAAGCTGTAAGATCGAAAAGTAAAGGAATGTAAAACACTGCCCTTTTCTAGGATTGAGAATGCATTTTTCCAGATGTTGTGTAATGATATCATAATCGACGAGGATTCCACTATTACAAGGCAAAAAGATTGTTGGGGAATTTGGCTTTTTGGATAATGGAAGATATACATCAGTAAAATTTCTTTAACTAGGTGTGGCTGCTGGAAGATATCAGGAGTTACACAACAAGACTGAAAAGCTACATAAGAACCTGGAGTCCACCATTAGTTATTCTGTTTTGTGCGAGTGAATAAAAAATCAAGACCGAAAGAAAGGAAGCACAGAGCAAGACACTGGATCTGAGTAGGCGATAAGTGCCTTAGACAATTATAAGAAAAATAACAAGAGCATGGATGGATAAGTTTCTCAGATGGTCAAGAAGAAGAAGGATATCCCAGAAGGGTTGATTCCTAATAAGAAGAGATTTCTAGCCAAGATCCTTTGGAGGATATGGAGCAATTTTAAATTTCTTTTTTCTTTTTTCATTTTCATGTAGTGTGTTTGTATATTTTTAGATATTCCTCTTTCCTTTTATTTTTCCTTTCCACTTTTGTAGTTTCTCGAATTTAGTTCCTTGGAGGATAATAAGTAGTAACAATCTGCTAGCAATGATGGGTAAGTTAGGAGGGTCTTCACCCAAAACTTAGTTCAGAGTGAAATATTGTCCCCAAGGTTGCACTTAGAGGCTGAAGCTCTTTTGAGAATTGAAAGCCATTGACAAGTATGTCAATACAAGATTTTAGTTTAGCCATGATGCAATTACCTTATGTATGTCGATCGGTTTTCTTAATGATTAATAAATACACAGTACTGGCCTGATCACAGGTATAAAAAAAAAAAAAAAAGTATTAAATTACTTATTATATAAAAAATACTTTTTATAATATAAATAATAATAAATATTCACTAAAAATTTTATTTTAATATATATTTATAATAATAAATAGACTTACAGGTCCATAATGCAGTGGTTAGCACTTCGTAGGTCATATCACAAGAACCGTGATCAAATCCTCCAGGGGGCAACCTCTGAAAAGCAGGTAGTAATCAGCATCCATTGGCGTAACTGTATAATAACTGATGTTTCCAGGTATAGCTTGTCTCACAAAGA